AGTACTGCGGAGCACCGACGGTGTAATTTAGCGAATATTCTGAGACGGTGATGACTCAGAGATTGCTAGCGCTACATTGAAATTCCAGGACTAAACGAGGCCTACAGTGAAAAAGACAGTTTCAAGCATGAGAATCGTTGCTGCAGCACAACAAAAACATTTGGCAAAGACCATTCTAAGGCCCGAAAGAGAGAGAGCTTTGAAACAGTGCAAAATGTATACTACGGACCATGGTTCATCAGGGCTGATTCTCTGTGGCTGCATGCAGAGCATTGGACTCAAGCAAATGTTTGCACGCATAGATGAAACAGGTCCACAGTGGCAAAGGTGTGTTTGGGGATAAAGGAGAAAAAGTAGTGTACACGTAAGGCTGTAAGAAGGAAACGATACATTGTTTGCGCAGAGGCGCCACCAAAAAAGGAGGGTTTTATGTCACCTGCAACATGGAGTTCTTAAACGGTATGTTTCATTGAACTTTCAGTTTTCCTACCTATTTTCAACTACCCACCTTCCACCGATTCACCGTCGAGTAAGTCGTGTTAAGTCGCTCGAGGTGCTAAGTGTAAGCAGCCTATCCGTGCTCTTTCCTCATTCCTGTCGTCGGGTTGCCCTTTCTTCATTTTTAACCCAATTCTGCACGGGTTCTCACCGCTTTTTAAATGACTCCATCCGATTTTGCTCTTGACATCTTCCTGCTTATTCCCATCTGATTTTCATCATGACTCATGCACGGGATATACTAATATTTCCTGAATCAATGTATTCCCTATGATGCATGCTGATGCTGTCGGAGGCAGTCGTTTTCAGTCGATCGGCCAGTACAAAGGTGGCCTCCTGCGGGGGAGGAGGGCGTAAAACCTGAAGGGTCACCCGACCCGACGCACAGATTAGGGCGGGTGGTCCGGCTCGTTAGTGGCGGCCGGTGAACAAGCACAGGTTCCTGAAATAGGGGAAGGTAGGTAAATGGAATCGCGTGCACAACCGGTTTTTAACTTATTGCATTGCGTTCGTAAGTTTAACATGTGTTATGGACGAAATTATCAGCTGTATTGCGTTTAGAGCTACAATTTGGTATGCGACAAGACACAAATGTCACAAACCAAAGCCATTCTGTAGTTCTTATAAGGTCATTTAGAAATGCATCGAGCACGCTCACTGTAAACTGAATGACGCATACTGCCCGGCAGGATCAAGGGCAATGAGCGTGACGATGAGTGACGAGTGGGGGGGGGGGGGGGCGGGGCAAATGCATATTTTTGTGGTTTAGTTTAGTTTGGTAGCGATTTGTCTCCAGATCAGAGCACGTCGTTCAAAATTTTTAATTCTCACACAATGTTCTGAGATTACCTGCAGGCTGTGGGCCGCAACCATTGTCTCTGCGGGATGCGCTTTTCTTGTGGTGAATGCCTGTATATTTAGTATGGCATATTGTATATCAATCACCAGCACGGAAGGACTCAACTACTGGGCAAACCGTTGCATAAATATTGCGTTTCAAACGCTTTACATGAGACAGTACTGATAGCTATATTGCTTGTTGAATAGCCAGGGGGAAGGAGAGAAAGATATATTAAGATTTCAGTACATCCCTTTGTCGAAACCTTTGTGAGCAGTGTAAATAAAATAACATCCTGGTGTTTGTCTACTTAAATTATTTTCCATGTACACGAGTTAATTTACAGTTAGATATTTATTCATTTGTTGTTATAGAATTGTAGGATCTCTAAAAAATTGTAGTTTTAGGAAATTGTATTGAATAATAATAAGGTAAAGAATTATACAATTTCATGTTTTTAACTAAAAATCTCTTTTTTCATTTTTAAAATAAAGAATAAAATGAGCAAACTTCAAAAATGTTATCTAAAAAATCAAAAGACTATAAAAATACAGAAATTGTATAATTGTATTTATTTGCAGTTAGATATATTAATTTGTAGTTAGATATACGCTGTGCTGTAATAATGCCTTGCACCTTAGCATCAGCAGGTAATTTTGAGTTTACTACTCTTGATCGGCATGACTTTTGATCGGGAAAGGGGTATAGGACCCATATTTTCCTGGATTCAAGTTTGAATGCGCTAATTATCAACGCCGAATACATTACGAAACATTGAAATATTTATTTCTCCTTCCTCCTAGTTAATCGACGTAGGACTTGGTGGCCTCAAGTGGCCGCGACAGGGTATCGGTCAGCCGATTCGCTGCCGTGACCAGCTGAGGCAACTGGTGTGTTCCCCGTCAGAAGTGTGTGCATTAAGATCATGGACTGAGCCCTCTACTCACCTTTCACTGGCTGATGGATCTTTGGTCGAGTTTTTAGCTTGCCCGGTAACTCCGGGGTCCCGCTGACCGGTCGCCCGCTGGGATCTGACCGGTCGCCCGCTGGGATCTGACCAGTTGCCCGCTGGGATCTGACCAGTTGCCCGCTGGGATCTGACCAGTTGCCCGCTGGGATCTGACCAGTTGCCCGTTGGGGCTCCCGTGAGGAGCAAGGGTTTCGCACCCATTCAGGGGCCCCGGGGTCAGCGGCTGACCGCGTAGAGCATTCCCTTAACCACTGACCTCTATAACCTTAGTCGGAATGTCTGGCGGCCGCACGTAGCTAATCAGATGCAGTTTCGTTCAGCTGTTTGGTTTTCAAGGACCGCCAGGCCCAGAGTGTCATGCTTGAACTTTACAGCCGAGTCCCCCATGTCAGGCCTCTGACACTGAAGCTGTCATTGTTACGTAGTTACGGTGTTTTTAAGCTTATCTATATCAGTTATCAGCCGTTTGAAAGCACTATCATCATATGTACAGCCATCCGTCCATGACATTGTTGGTTGGATCGCGTGATTGGCTTGTCGGCTACTGACAGCATCCGATTGGGCTCATTGTAATAAGCATGGAGCCAGCGCTCCCAACTGACAATGGTTGTCTCATCATGTCGATCCTTACGAGTTAGCGGCATCACCAGTTTTCACGAGCTAAGCTATACATTTGCATGCAATGACATTTGCAAGCAAGGAGAGACTTTGAATGCCTCCGCGTATTGCAACGGTTAACCTTCTCCCTGATCCGCCGTGTTTTCAGAAGATGGGGGAGGGGTCAATGTGATCCCCTGCCGTTACTGACCTAAGAAAGATGAGAGTCCCGCGGAAAGTCTATCGAATTGGTCTGAACTAGATCTCGCGATTTGTAGCCAGTTCGATGCATCTAGGCCCATTATTTACCTCAATACATTTATCTGTGATATCATGCATCATGATGTATCTAGGCTCATATTCTACCTCATTACAATATGCAATATATATATATATATATATATATATATATATATATATATATATATATATATACACATATATTGCATATTGTAATGAGGTAGAATATGAGCCTAGATACATCATGATGCGTGATATCACAGATCCTTACGAGTATATACGAGCATTACATATATATATATATATATATATATATATATATATATATATATTGCAGTTCCTCAAGTCGTTCGTTTCACGTCGTTTTACAAACATGTTAAAAAGAAGCCTCAGCAACCATCTCATACATCACCTTGCCGTCTCAGGTTTGTCCATTTCCTTTCATACTGTGTGAAGGTTCCATTAAGCGTCGCGACCAACTTTTCCATCCGTCTGTCCCTTTCAAGCAAATAGATATAACACTGTTGAGATGCAAGCCTAATGATTCGTCTACCCGTGATGATACTGTTTTCTAATAACCAGGATTTCATTTCTTGCAAAAATCGTAGAACTGTCGGGCGGTCCCAAAATGTGTGATCAGTGGTCTTCCTAATATCATTGCACTGCAGACAGCCACTGCTTTCTGCAATACCAATCTGACACAGGTATGGCTACACACACATCGTGGCATAGGTCCTCGTCACTTTATTATAGTGCAGCGCACTGTACGATGAACTTAATGCAGTATGAAAATATTCCGGTAGGCACAATAACAGCACATATTGTCGCCATATCGTTCTCTCCACTTGTCTTCCCACCCGTGTTCAGGCCCCTGAAATTTGTTATTAACAAGTACGATATGTACATAATTTACCGCTTTGGAGCGTGACGAAATGAACGAAATCGCTGCAGGAATAATGGGTGCTGGCAGTTTTTCTTTCTTAGCACGAACCCATTGAACCTGCTCTCTATTCTTAAACCCCAAGGGATCCGACAGCATACCGTTTATACCATAAACACATCTTAATTGTCTGAAACTCATGAGCAAACCATTACTGTCAATTAAGTTTTTAAGGATTCTTAGACCTTTTCCCTGCTAGTCTCATATCTCTCGTCTTTCGAATTTCGTTACATCTGAATACCAATTGTAACTTGTTTTGACAATTTTTGTTATCATCCCGTTTTGCACGATCAGCTTAAAGTCATGATTTCCAATTTCAAAACATCAGCACATGATATATATCTTGAAATTATTGCCCGTAGAACTACGTTGGTTGCATCGAAATCAGCTCATGTACATAAAACCTGCTTGGGTTAAAATTACTTGTGATATTTTGGAGTCATGTATGTTTACCACGGTAGCTTTCAAGGCAAACATATGAATACATTGGAGAGTGCAGATCTCATCGAGACGGTGGTTTTCGAGAGTTCAGGAGGGGAGAAATCGGCCTCCCCTCAGTCCAGGATAGGGCCGGCAGAAAGCTTGCCTGAACAGCGTGTAGTGCTACCACATGTCGACAAAGGTCATTGCATGAGTCTGGCACACGACCGCTAGATTTTGTGCTGTATGGACAACTGTAACGCACATTCCCGTGCCTCAACATTCTTTAAGATTTGCTCCAATGATGTCTTTGTTCACGTTTTCCCTCCAGTGCCCGTGGGGAGCTCTCCACCTCTGCTGGGGATGGTTATGCTCTCCCCAGCGCTGTTGTGGTCCCCCAGTGGGATCCACGCGAAATTTTTAAACGCTGTAAAAATTCCTACGGCCCACCATGACCGAAAAGAACGTTTTTCGCTCCCCAAGCCGTGTCATCAATCTCAGTCCGTGTCAGTACGCTCCGTCCGCTGTCTCACCGAGAACTGGAGGCGACTGGAACGCACCGGCACCATGCGCTCCACGAAGCCACGGCTTTCTTCAGAGCGGTAGAGAAGGTAGTACATATTGACCGAGCTGGGGAAAAAAGCAGCTTCACCGAGTGGCCAGAATGTAAGATGTGCGTAGAATATCACCCCAGGGACCGCCTTTCTCGCAATATAACGGAGGTTACGCAACAGCACAATAAAGATAACAAGTGCCAGTAAACTGCAACAATTTTGGGCCAGTTTTCCCCCCATGCGCCCTATGATATCGCTGTCAACATCTAAGCAGACGCATTTGCTGATATTTCGAACGATCGGTCTTGGCTCACCTGTTACACTGGTTTTGAAGCGTTCATCGCCAGCGGGCCTCAGTACAGAATATTCAGTACAACTGTTTGAAAAAAGGGGGAGCCCATAGCAACTTTTGAGCAGGGGACTAGTCAAAGAAGAGGCACAGCTGGGGGGTACGGGTTCCCCATTGGCCCGGACATTTTGTTTTTCACTGAAGAAGGCTCCCGCCAGAAATAAAAAATCAGCGTGATATGTTCTCAAAGAGTCATGTACAAGTCTCAAGACCCACGGACAAAAAAATTCTGACAACGCCCTTGAGTTTGGGTTTCGTGACTGAATATCACACCGATTAGTCACAGCAGTACAGCCCTTACCCGTAGAACAGCTTGGGCCGACGCCACTGCAGACCCAATGACGTCACAGTCGGACAAGTGATGTTGGTGATGACGGGAGCTCCCGGACCGCTCACGTCAGTACGAGCCATCCAGGGAAAAGACCGGTCGCTCTCGCCGGCCGATGTCACCGCCTTCAGCCACACGCTGTACTTCGTGTCGGGCTCTGTGGGCCCAGGTCAACTCGCTGACACGCTGTACTTCGTGTCGGGCTCTGGATCCAATTTATATCATTGGTTCACAGTGCACCTCAGTTTGGCTCTGTAATTTCCAATGGCCTCAAAGGAGGTCGTAATGACCTCAATAATACCCACCGAGCACACCACTTTTCTGAAAACATAAGTAACTTCGTCAATAGCTTAGTTCCGATCGCCCTGTACCAGCGATCCTCAGTGACACCATTGTCTCACGTAGCACTCCTGATCACCCTTGATAGCTTACAGTGAATTCACTGACTCTCTTATTACGATCTGGCTGACTGTAATCCCGACCTGGCTCTCAGTCACAGTGACGTCATTAATTTACACCGTGCTCCCACCCGGTTACATAGTTTTCTGTGGGCCACAGTGGCGGCACTGAAGCACGGATATATCCGTGGGCATGTAATTACGACACTCCTGAAAAAATGTGTTTGTGAGCTACCAAATTAGGGAAATTTTTCGGTGCTACCAAGCAACTACTGTCTCAAACGCAAGGTAGGCACGCATAGTAAATACGCATTTAGCAAAGAAGTGGCATGCATGACAGACGTACGTGCTGTAGACATATCATCAAAACAGAACAGAAACAGAACAAGACAGGGAGTCGCAAAATAAATGATGTCAAGTAATCTTGATCAACCTGATTAGCACACGCTCGGGTGGGGGTCACATTAGCCACCCACCGCAGGTTTTTTTGGGAATGATTTCCGAACGACGCAGTGTACCCGCACCAAATTCGGCACAGCTGTAGAAAATTAAGTTTTAATTATTTGGTGCCAAGAATTTAGATGTAACTTGTAAAGTCACTGACCTACGGCAGGTCAAAATCAGGCCATTTTTTAATCGAAGACAATTTCTAGGGAAGCGCTCAATCTGATAACACAATGGAGTGTTAGACGAAGCCGTATATTTTTAAGATAGTTGCTTAGGCAACACAACAGTTGAATTAACAAATTATATTGACCTAGGGCCAAGTATAAATGTCAGAGCAAGATAAAAACCAACATGTTTAATTATTTTGGAGCTTGCTGCATGACGTAATTTATTGCACTCGTTTTTAACTTATTTACACCTGTAAAAGCTGCAGTATATACATTTCATGAATTTCCTAAAGGTCAGAACAGGTCACTGGCCTGAACTAACGACCAAGGTCAACATCTTGTTTTTACGTAACATAAAATGTAACGTACTGCCAAGCGTAATCCTTGACACCTAATCAAATGCAAAAATCAAAACAGTCTTGAATCATTTTGGTCACCATGACCGCCGAAAGGTCCAACAAAATCACTAACCCTAAATTAGCACCAGTAACCCTAGGCCTTGAACACGTGTCCAGGTTCACGGTGGTTTCATGGGAAGCTCCGGGGCATTTTGGCACCAATCTAGAGTTTGACCTTATTTGACCTTATTTGACCCGAAGGTCATGACTGAGGGGCCTCAAATTTTCTTTTTTCAGTTTTTTTTTCTTCAAAAAAGCACAGCACAGCACTGCACATGATGGGATAGGAAAAACGAGAACTCGAAGAACAAAATTCCAGACAAATATGCTTCATTCAGCTTTCGCCCAATTACAGAACGAGCCTCGCCTCTTGCACGCACTCCCTCTTCCTCCTCTTTTTACCCAGCACTGGTCAGTGATTTCCTCTCTCCACACATAACAATTCCTGTATTCCCCTGGTTGTGAGGTTCATGCCCCTCTGGGCGCAATGCTTCTATAGGTTTGCGCTCTGTGTTTTACCGCATTTTACTACAGCTTAACCATCGGTGTAATTGGTTCGTCGATGTGAGTTCCTCCCCCTCCCGCTCATATCGTTTAAAGTTTTCTGAGGTTACCTCTGCGGCATGCCGCGCAGTCGTGCCCAAATTTTCAGTGGCCTATGGGAAATTCATTGCTCGTGTCTTAACGCTAGTGACGTATTCCTAGCATTTCTGTTTTGGAATAACGGCGGTTTTGGGGGAGCACTGCACGGCGACCTACGGCCGGCGCGGGCGGCGGGCGGCAACCGACGATGCTGTGGACCGCGGACGGCGGGCCGAGCAGTGGTAGGTTTTAGGTTTAGGTTGTGTGCCGATATGGGGCGTGGTCTAGCACGTATGAGCATGTTAAGTTGAAAATGTTTGATTTTCAGGAAGCCTTTACCTTTAACCCGACATAGTGGGTAAATTTTTACTAACATCCAAAAACTTATCACCAGTCGCTAGACCTCATTTGTTTCCAATTCATCGGTGTTTTCCTCTGGGCTCTATCTTTCTTAGTTCGGAAACGGTACGGGGTCGCATCAACACCTCTGTCAGATCGCTTTATGAAAAACGGCGAATTAAGACAAGGATTAATCGCTTGCGTACTTTCGTTCACGCTACCGGTCATTTTACGTGTACTGGGTATGCATGCAATAAACTACCTCTGGTTGTCTGCATTGCGCAGCGTCAATAATGTTGTGAAGTCTCGTGCCGCATGCTTACTACTAGGCATGCTCAAACACAAGCGCAAAGGTCTCACGCGCAAGGTTTATTGTGTGCTGAATAACGGGCATTCCATGGACACGACTGGATTCGAACCAGCACCAGGCCGGCAACCTGCGGCAGTCGCGGGGCACAAAGAGGTGCAGAATGCAGTCGAGGAGCACGGATTATGAACCCCTCTCACTCATACACACATACTCTTCCGTTTCTACCCCCATCCCCCAAAATTTGGGGAGACAATGGGCAAAATCCCTGGAGAAACCTGCTTGTTGGCATAATTGTGGGAATATCTTACAGTTCAGACCTTCTCCCCTGACACCTTTTGTTGGAACTAGATCAATGGTCTGTGCATGGTCTCTTTTTAAGAAGTCATTTAGGGCTCATTGCGTACTATTTTGTTTGTTGCTCGTCATTGACGGTGATAGACTAAACAGAATGCCTTTTATTTCAAACCGAGATTGTATTTCAAACTCTTTTTAAGAAGTCATTTAGGGCTCATTGCGTACTATTTTGTCTGTTGCTCGTCATTGACAGTGATAGACTAAACAGAATGCCTTTTATTTCAAACTGAGAGCACTTAGTTTCAGGGTGACCAGTGGTGGAAATCTAACCAGAGCCGCACACTTGAAAGTGTTTAACACGCGCTCGGGTGGGGGTCAAAATGACCCCCCACCCCCCACCCGAGCAAAGGGTATCTAGCTGGCCACCCGGGCCCGTGTTAAAGTTTGATTACGTGCGGTTCGCTTACCTTCCCCTATATCGTTGTCCATTGGTCTTCAAGCTTACTTAAATAGCTCTTACGACTACGCTGCCAACTCGACGCGCATCCGCAGCGCATGTTGTTTAAGTTTGTTATTTCGCGGCCCTAGCATCCCATCACGAACATTTCTCTCACTTCGCAGCGTTGCAACACATTTTTTCCACTTTTGCCTTTTTAATATCGACAGGACGTGTGCACCGCTGAAACAAATTACACTACCGACCCGGCTCTCCGGGCTATGGTGCCGTCACTGACGTACGTCACATCCTTGGTCCCGCTGCACGAGTGGGTGACGTTACCACAACGCGCTCTATTGGTCCGGCTCTGTCGCTTTTAGTGAAGTTGTTCATACACATCGTGTCCACAGTGGCCAGCTCGGGCTCATTTTGAAAAATTCTACTTTTAGCAAAGGATTTTCGAGACGCATATTTACGGTGGCCTATTTTCAGCGGCCTCTTTTCAAAACATATGTTCCCACAAAGCCTTTTTGGAGCGGCTTCGTTCACGGAGCTTGTTTGGTAAAGGCCTTTGTTCTGAAGATCTACATTAACGACGCACAGCTTCGAAATGTGTCATTTCAGGTCAACATACAAAAGGCCTTCGTTCAGAAAGCGTAAACTGCAAAGTCTTAATTACGGGAGACCTGCGTTCAAGATAATTATTTTCTTTGGGGTTGTGTTCAAAAGGCCTTTCAAAGACTTTATGTTTAGAGGGCTTGTTACCAACAGGCATGGGATCAGAAAGCCTACTTCGAGTCTGCTAACCTTAGAGTATTTTGTTTGCATTTTGTTTGCTCGATTAGCATCCACGAGGTGGCTTTTCGAGTTTCGGATCGTTACATCGTGCAAGACGAGTTGCAACGTTTTCTTCCCCTTTACCGCATGGAACACACCGTTATTTGGTTCGCATATCTGCCTCAATGAGAGACCAAGCGTTTGTTAGTTTTTGCGATGTTAAGCTCAACACAGCGTAACCAGGGGCGGGGCGTAGGGTGCGGGTGGTGTGATGGTCCAGCTGCACGTCTGGGGAAGCCAGAGGTGCCTGTCTTTCTTGCCAGGGTGAAAGACAGGAGACGTGCTGTCTTAGCAGCTGAGTACGTTGAAAAGCCGTAATGACGACGGCAATGGGGGCTTCGCCCAGCGTAATCAGTGCGCAACCAAGAAGATGGTTCAAAAATCATTAATCCGTAACACAATTCATGGACGGTTTTAAAAAGGTTCTTCAACGATATGACGTCTTGAAAATAGACCATCGGGAAATGGGCGTCTCGAAAATTGGAATTCTGAGAATAGACCAACTGAACGTAAGCTTTGTAATCCATGCCTTCTGAAAATAGACCTCACAAAATGCAGCTTGTTCGCCGTCCCGCTCCGTAGGCGAAATTGACGCCTGTTACACCTTGTGCCCCCAGTCCGGCTCTGTAGGCCTGAAGTACGCCAATGGCAGGATCTGTGCATGGTCCGTACCATCAGTGATGCTCTCCAGCGGGTGCTGCCGGGGGGCTCAAGCGACGGCCTCGACCCGGACCGGGCAGCGCTGATAAGGAGCTCACGTCGGCCCGATTCGACATGCGTGGCGCGCGCGACAAAGTCTGTCTTCCCAGCAGCTCCATTCGAGACTCCTGACCGCTATCAAGGGCTCCTTCCAATCCACCTAAATTACATTGCAGCCAGATGGCTGCGAGTGACTGCATAATGCGTGGTAGGTGTGAAGGCAAACCCGGTCCGACTTAAAGAGACCGCAGCGATGCACACTGGACATCCGCAAACAGCGCGTGGAAGGCTCAAACAGCGAAATCCGCTAACAACTGCAGATGTGACAGACGCTGCGGCGGCCGCGAATGTCTCCAGATCCATTACAGAACGACAACTTCTTGATCGGTAATTTGCACCCGATAACTTTGGAGCAACTTCGTAACGACGATCAATGAAAAGCAGCCGCACTTAATGTCTCCTCAATTCGTCGACGGTATTGGTGTTGGAAGACGCATTGCCTTAGAGGAACGGCCCAAAGCGTCGTTGAGAAGGGAACATGATTGGGATAAGGAACTGGATTAGAAGAAGGTCATTGACAAATAAAAAGAAATCACTCACGCTTTCAGGCAGGTCTTATTTCATCAGTGTATTGCTGATAATGCTTCCGACATACACGAAATAAGTCCTTAATCACCGTCGGTACCACTAATCTGGTCACGTTTGCTGGTTAAATGTGGAAAGAAACAATGCCAATTGACGTTCATGATGAATATTGCCAACCTAAACAAGGCAGACAATGATGACAGATCAAGAAACCTGATGCATCTTTCAGTTGCTGCTAGTTTTGACGAATCAAAAGTGTCTTTCCGTTGGACTAAGGCCGATATTCAAATTAATTCTACATGTGCTCATATTTCCCTCTTCGTCTGACAAACATCTAACAACATTCGGCATCTCCCATCCAGGACACATAATAAGAACATTAAGGGTTTTTGGTGGAATTCGTTCTCAATATATTTTTATATATTCAGTATATTTTGCGTCTTAATCCATCATTGACTGGGCTCTTCAGCGGCACACCATTGACCAGGGGGGGGGGGGGGGGGGGCAGATTTCACCTCCCACCCTGATTATTTCAAGAACGGCCGGGCGGAGCTAAAAAAATTAAATCGTGGTCGGTAGCACCGTGGCGCGCGGTCTCAGACCACAAAACAACTTAAGTTTTATTGTGTATCAAAGTCAAAGGTCAGGCTCAAATTTTAAAGATGTCGCTTGGAATAAATGACCGCTCTCACAACGTATTTCATTTAGAGGCGTATCTCACGGTGTGTAATCAGTACGCCCTGATCAAATGTGCTGCTTGGGAATGTATCAAATGTTACGTGCGCCGCACCAGGCCTAGAGCCCAGGTGACGTGCCGTGCAAATGAGAGCTGAAACCTTGGTCTGTACGTTGATTTTGGTCCATCTATTTCCATCATATTTGAACCATCTAACCACGAAGTGAAGAGTTTAGCTGCAATTATGGTTATCAGACAAGTGAGCAAGAGCTACTGCTTGTTCGTAAACAGCCTGAGTTCAACGTCAAATGGATGACCAAATGGTAAATAATGGTAAATAAGCGGTTGGACCGATTTTCGCGTTGCTCTCGACGACCCAGTTTGCTGACGGCGCAACTTGATACCCTTAAACCCCGCCGCCAGTCGTCGGCTCGCGTGTGAAACTGGCAAACGGCTTCCTCCGCCCCGTCATCGCGCTGCTGCGGCAGACCTGAGCCCCGCCGCCCCGTCATCGCGCTGCTGCGGCAGACCTGAGCCTCGCCGCCCCGTCATCGCGCTGCTGCGGCAGACCTGAGTCCCGCCGCCCCGCCATCGCGCTGCTGCGGCAGACCTGAGCCTCGCCGCCCCGTCATCGCGCTGCTGCGGCAGACCTAAGTCCCGCCGCCCCGTCATCGCGCTGCTGCGGCAGACCTGAGTCCCGCCGCCCCGTCATCGCGCTGCTGCGGCAGACCTGAGTCCCACCGCCCCGTCATCGCGCTGCTGCGGCAGACCTGAGTCCCGCCGCCCCGTCATCGCGCTGCTGCGGCAGACCTGAGCCCCGCCACCGCCGCCGCGGGTCGGGTCTGAACCCAACTGGGCGCGGCCAATATGCGCTGTGATGCATTTCTAGCCATAACTCAGTCATTGTTACAGATAATGGTTGAAACGTGCTACAGGCATCCTTCACAGTCGTGGCTAGGGCACCTTATTCTCTGTTTTCATAATTTTGAGTGTGAAACCAACAAATGCTGAGTGTATTATCCATCAATATTTTTGTTATTTGACATGTCAATATTTCAATGTGCAAAATTGAAACAACAAAAAGACACGGCATATGAATGATAGTCTAATTGTCTAACATTATCTTTTTCCAGATGTAACATATGTTATTTCATTCGGGTTCTGAGTCAATATCTACGGCTATGCGCTTTTGCCCAACATCGGCAAAAATGACGTAATTCTGACATTGCTCACGCTTGATCTGTTATAATCTTACAGCTGTGATTTAAGTACAAGATGTAAAACTCATCAGCTGACAGGTACTGAAAGCTTTGTGACGACGTATCAAGGCCTTTTTCAACCATCGCGAATATTGAACCGGGTGGGAGGCGGATTTTCCCCCGGTTAACGGCCGGTAAATCGCTGCCAGTGATGATAAGTTTAGGCCATGACTTAACCCTGATTTCAATTTGCACTCCGTCATAAGGCAGACTGATGAAGAGGGGGGTTCGATGCGAGGCTCTGCCGTTTTCAAACTAATTGGTCCCAACGAGATCTCACGATGGGCAACGAGTTTCGTGTGGTTAGGTTAATATTTGATCTTGCTTTGCCAGGCCAAAAAAGTTAGTTTTTTTCCTACAAATCACATTATTTCAGATTCACGTATCAATATTTACGAAATCACACTAAGTAGTAGCACATGCATTGCATGGATATGTTTTTCGTTCAAGGTACTGTTCCCTACGTGTATGGGAACGTGTACGTGTATGGGTTTTGAATTGAGAAAGCCATTTTCAAAAGCTTCCTACCTTTTACAGTTAGTGTTTCTTAAGACTCCAAAGCCACTTGTTTGTGAACTAGGTGCAAGCGAGCTTGTACAGACTTTTTCTCACCGACTAATCAGAAATCACCCAGTGATGCAGGACTGTGTAGAAGCTTTACACTAATCGGCTTCTTCAATATTTATACTATGTTCGAGGTCAAGAAAAGTATGGCCATTGATGTACTTGGGTCTGGACTGCGTCAGCACGGATCGTCGCAACAACCGACAGCAATTTGTCGTCGAACAGTTTAATGCGCTAAATGTAAGCTTTGATCACGAACCTCGTTCAATGATACAAAATGTAGACATTTGGGCAGTTCTTAGGCCTTATGATGGACATGAGGCTGGGCATTGAACAACTTCAAATAGCGCTGTAACAAAAAGTGCAAATGCAAGTAAAAACATGCAATCACAAGAAAAAATATACCAGAACATTATACCAGAACAGAACAAAATATACCAGAACAGAACAAATATACCACAAATATGCCACAACAACAAAACAACCAGAACATATACCACAAAAATATACCACGAGAACACAACGAACATTTCTGGTCGCGCACATAACGATCGTCGGTTATTTTAAACGCACCTATTAACAGGCCACCTAACGGCGAGTTGAAGTACCATAAGTAAATCAGGGTATCCGCTAAAGTGATAATTCTGCCGCAGTCAGTCTGGCACCGGCCTTGATACCGATCGCCCATCGAGGAGCATATTTACAACAGAGCGATGTGCTATCTAGGGCAGTACTTTGGGCTTAAGCACACCAAAAGTTGCAAGTGACCTTTTCCATTACGTCTGGTGCCTGCCTCAAAGCCTTGCATGTGTAGCATTCCCTTTAAAGTTAGTGTTTCACACTTGTATGGAGTTTTGACCCAAAATATCTGTTTTAAGATCATGTTTGCGTGAACTATTTCAAGACCATTTAGCATGCATGACGTCATAAAAACGTCATCCTAAGCCTGCCATTCCATAGCTCATGCAGCGTTCAAGGCCACTAAAAATACTACCGTCGAGCCGGTTAGGTTTGACATTTGTGAGCACAATTTTCAGACATAATGGACGTCAGCTGATACTCAATGGGCAAGCCGTGCAAGTTTCAATCACAAACCACGTTTTGTGCTGCATGATGTATGAAGTTGCTAGTTATTACAAAAACGAGATTTGAGACTTTATTACTAAAAATGAGATTGCTAGAAAGGCAAGTATGTGAATGCCAGAAAACGTTTCAAGATCACGGATGAATATGATATAACACCACGAGAAACGTCCAAAACACGGGAATACAACGATATTTGGCAACATGGACACTTCTAGCACCGCCACTGCCATCTCTCGACGAGTTTGAAGTGTTACAGGTGAGTGTTTAGGTGACAATATCGCACGCTTAGTTGTCAGCACACTAACGTCATGCAAACGTTCCATGACGCAATCAAACAATGTCATATAAGAAGCATTTCTGCTAAAAACAAAAACAAAATTGTTGTTTAGACCGATTTTGTTATTTCAAAACATACCAATATTTATAAGTGAGTCTCTCTTAAAGCGTCTGGTGTTTTCTTCAATATCTTCAAATATGGAACATCTATTTTATGTAAAAGTCCTGGCTCACTGCGAACGATCAGAAGGTTCGCTAGTTGCCGCCCTCTGCCCACGTCGGTCGTGGAGTGCGGTGTGTTTATGAAGCACCGCTGCATGGGAAGCCAGAAATGATAGAAATGCGTTTTCGGTGTCAGAACACAAGCAGTGGATACCCGACAGGCTGCCGACCACTTGCACAGCAGCATTGCACGATATGCCGGAGAGATACCCTCAGAAGACGTAAGGCTATGAAGAGGGTTCGCATCGACCCCTCCCTTCCTCACTCCAGAGCAACGGTTTAAGCCGTTGGACGGTGCTTGCGGTGCTGTCCATTACCGTACATACCCAGCATGTTCACCGTGAACTGGCGAGCATTAGGCACTGCGATGGACTGGGAGTGCGCCGGCTGGCCGCCGCTGCTCCAGTAGACGTTGTAGCCCTGGAGCAGGCCGTTGGGTCGTCGCGGCGGGGACCAGGTCAGCGTCAAGCTCCGGTCCCCCACTGACAGGAGAGTGACGTTCTCCGGGCGCTCCGGCACTGCCACACAGAGTCAAGCTCCGGTCCCCCACTGACAGGAGAGTGACGTTCTCCGGGCGCTCCGGCACTGCCACACAGAGTCAAGCTCCGGTCCCCCACTGACAGGAGAGTGACGTTCTCCGGGCGCTCCGGCACTGCCACACAGAGTCAAGCTCCGGTCCCCCACTGACAGGAGAGTGACGTTCTCCGGGCGCACCGGCACTGCCACACAGACAGCCGGCCATTGCAGCAGCTCACATGGCGAAGCCTTCAGAGCACAAAGCCGGTCAGTTCTGGGACGGTAAGCCTGTTGCCATGTGGTTGTCACAAGATGTTAGTGTTTATATATATATATATATATATATATATATATATGTATGCATGTACATATGTGCATATATATATATATATATATATATATATATATATATATATAGATATAATACGCATGTCCATGTGTGCGTGCGTGCGGGCGGGCTTGCGGGCGTGTGTGTGTGTGTGTGTGTGTGTGTGTGTGTGTGTGTGTGTGTGTGTGTGTGTGTGTGTGTGTGTGTGTGTGTATGTGTGTGTATGTGTGTGTGTGTGTGTGTGTGTGTGTGTATGTGTGTGTGTGTGTGTGTGTGTGTGATATTTAATATACATATATATATATATATATATATATATATATATATATATATATACATCATACACAAGCCATAAATATATCAGACAAGTGGCAAGTATCCATCCTTTTACGGTAACTGGCTCAGACGTATCTGCAGAGCACGCTTGTATACAACGAAAGCACATAAGCTCAACTCTCCTGCTCAACTCAACGCATAAGTTTCACTGTGATATAAGGAGGAGCTATATCTGGCGGATATGTAAGCAGCGCCACAACGTTCCTCACCCCCCTGCGCAGTGAATGCGACAATGGAGTCCGGCGGACCCAGTGCCTGCGGGTTCTTCACTTGCAGAGTGATTTCGTACCGCGTATACGGCTCCAAGTCGTAAATCACGTACTTCTGTGGACAGTATAGGACTCACAGTTACAAATGTATGCTAATGCGTTTTTTGTTTTGCCCTCATAGCTCAGTGGGCAGGAGCGCCAGCCTCCCATCCTACACGTGGCGACGCATCGGGGTCGTATTGGCGTCCGCCGTCGGTGCTTGAGTTGGATGGCCTGCTGCCGGTGGCAGCTCAATGTCGTATAAGGTCAGAGGGCGGGCTTGACCGTGCCGGGCATTGCGACGCGTTTAGCATCCACAACAAAATTTTGCCATTGAACTGGAATTTCAAGATCGGAGGGTGACGCCACGGCTCACACTTCCAGCTGTGCTTGGCGTAAACTCTTATTCCAAAAATCGATCCAATAAGAATGTTGAGACAAAATTTGTTCATTGAGCGAGGTGGTGAGGTGACACCGCACATGACACGGGCTTCTCCAGATTCGTTGGAGAAGCAGTTCTCTGGAGCGGGCATCAGCCAACGACTACCTTGGAGGGGCTTACCACCTGTCCGATCTATCGCCACGGCACGTCATGCTGTGGGGTACACTAAAGAACCACGTCCACATGGACCAGCCGGTGAATCTTCAAGAACTCCAGCCCGCCTTCAGACATGATATGGGATGTATTCGGGTTGTTAAGATCGACAGGACGCCGCCCCCCCCCCCCCCCCCCGCTGAAGGTTCAGCTGTTGCCCAGCCTGGTTTGCCGTGGGGCCATCTGAAGCATCCTTCGTAGTCATTTTTCGACGGATGGGCAACTGTCTGGGATGGAGTCTGTCGCTTTCAATGCCACCGGTCGTGTTGTATCATTAGATAAGCAGCCAAATGCCATCGCATGTACAACTGGGCGACAAATACAATTGCTGTTGTTGAGGAAGGTGTCAGTCAGCGTACATCTGGCCACCCTGTGCATACTGCAGTCTATTTGTCCTGATCTACCTGTGTTATATAACAAAAAAAAAACTGTCAACGTTTGGAGGTTGGCCTAACATGTGGAGGAGTTAAGGTACCCAGTGTACCAGCGGTTCAGATAAATTGGCAGCATTTCATTGGCCCATCAGCCCCTCTCAGGGCAGGGCCCCTGAGAGCATTGAGAGGATAGAGTCAGTATTGGAGAGGAACCTCAGTTTACAAAGAATGTGCATACGAATTGACGCCCATGGTCACCAGACATGCACGGGAGTACACATAGCGGAGAGTATACATAGTATGGCATAGAACATAGCATAGAGAGTATACATAGCATGGCAGCATTCAATGGAGCACTACCATCGAAGGGGCAAAACAGACACTCTAGCACGGGTTTCCATATCGTGCCGTTTGAGGGTGAATGACCTTCACGCTACCAGCTGTCTGCCGAACGGTCATTGCTGTGATAAAGCCGCCGATTTGTCCCCGAGCGTTCCTTATCCTCTCCTTCCACAGACGAATATATCAGGCCGTTTGTCGTTTATCAGCCCCATGTCCAATCGGTTGGGCAGCACGACCCAATCCATCATGCCGTTGGGACGCATCACCCTGGCGATCGCACCATCGCCGTTTTAACGACAGCGTCGCCCAGTTCAGTGCGCCGCTTCTTCTGTTACAGCGGATGCATCGCGCGGTGACTTGCGCGATGAAACCCAGCTCCGACTCGGAGGAGTTCTCCGATAAAGCGCGGTCTGGCCTGTTGTGACGTGGGCTCAGACCGACCCCAGCTGGTGGCAGCTCCGCGCCTCAGCATGCGATGGCTGTTGGCTGGCCGACGCAGCCGGGCGGTGGGTTATAGCGACATGGGGGGGGGGGGGGTCAAAAGGATATGAAGTGTTGAATGTGGTTGGGATGTGGTTGACATAGATGGGGTCATCAAACATGGTCCTGCGCTAAAGGGGGCCGCCATGGGTGTGGTTAACATGGATGGGGTCATCGCAACATGATACCGTGTGTAGGGCGACCGCCAGGGTACATGTGACTGGTGTGTGACTGACAGCTGATCTAAGACGATGCAATGGTATGGCACGGTGAAGGCGTCGTGCGGCTGGACACTGTTGACGAGAGCCTGCTGCGATGGTAGAGGTGAAGAGTAGTGGCCTTACCCGGTCTGAGGCGTTGTGCAGCTGGACACTACTGACGACAGCTTGCTGCGGTGGCGGGAGGGGGGAGGAGTGGTGATCTTACCCGGTCTGAGACGTTGTGCAGCTGGACGCTACTGACGACAGCTTGCTGCGGTGACGGGAGGGAGGAGCGGTGATCTTACCCGGTCTAAGACGTCGTGCAGCTGGACACTACTGACGACAGCTTGCTGCGGTGGCGGGGGGGGGGGGGGGAGGAGTGGTGATCTTACCCGGTCTGAGACGTTGTGCAGCTGGACACTACTGACGACAGCTTGCTGCGGTGACGGGAGGGAGGAGCGGTGATCTTACCCGGTCTAAGACGTCGTGCAGCTGGGCGATCCTGACGACAGCCTGCTGCGATAGAGGGGGGGGGGGCGGGGGTGGTGAACTTACCCGGTCCGACACGTCGTGCAGCTCGACGCTGCTGTCGGGTCCCGGCTGGCGGCCCGGCTCCGCCCGCCGGTACGTCAGACGGTAGCCGGTGAACTCGCCGTGAATCGTGTGGTTGGCTGGTGGCCGCCAGCCCACCTCTATAGAGGTGGACGAGCGGTTCCGGGCGTACGTAAAGCTCGGCGCTGCTCCAGGGCCTGCACCATGAAACGTCGGGCAGGCAGGTTCCAGAGCGTGTTGGCTTAGGATAAACACACCATTTTGAAGCACGTGGGTCACAGCGGGCACAAATATGGTGGTGCAGACAGGCAAGCACACGCAAAACGTTAAGACATGGCCGCACAGACGATAGGAACACGTGCTTTGCATCCCCTCGCGTTCTTTGAAACAATCCGTGGCATCCTTGTCCTTTGTGGGAACAACACCAGCCAGAATTTCGCGGGTGAAAGTGTAGGATATTTTGGCAAGCAACTGAGTACGTTTCTGCGCAAACTGCGCAATAAACTTGCCTCGCCTGTTCTCGAAACGAATGCTACTCATTTCGGGGAACGATGCGAAGGCTCGAGCTGAAGCCTGCAGCGCACGTGCTGCAGGCTGCCAGACGACTGCCGCAATCTAAAGAGTAGCAAAGAAACGCGCCTGAAGAGCATCATATTCGACGCACGCCCCAACACTGAGGATAAAGCAGTGTAAATGCGTGCGTGCGTGTGTGCTTGCTTGCGAGCGTGTGTTTGTGCGCGGGTGGGATGGGGGAGAGGCTAGGCTATTGGAACCATATCCTCGTCTCTGAAGAAGTAGGTTTACCCTACATGCTGCGCGATTTTGTAGGAATTTGAGCAGCAGAAGAACTTCAGAGAAAGTTTTCATTCGCCTACCCCCTTAGAATAAATACTTCCCAAAACTTACCGACAAGACAAGTATGTTTTTCCATCTTTAACAAAAAAAGATATATGAGCGGTGTACGCCAATGTGAATGCAGTCGTGACAACACTGGTGCATTATTCCTCGTTGTTGAACAGCCTGAACAAAAGAGAGAGTGGTGCATCGATATTCCGGTTACAAACATGCTCTATTGCCCTGGGCTACAAGCCTGGGTCAAAACAGCTATGCTCAGTACACACACACACACACACACACACACACACACACATATATATATATATATATATATATATATATATATATATATATATATATATATATATATAACTGCGTACTTAGCGATAAGATTTTCTTTCATGCACGGTTGGAAATACGTCAAGGCATTTTGGCCCCGATCAGCCTTTTCTCGTCTGTTCAGACCTTCGTACTTAAAATGTATTTTCGTTGCCTAAAGCATAAATGATATGATGAAAAATCGTCATAAATTATGAAACTATGACAAGTATACACATTTTCATCAGATAAAACATCGCAGTGATGCATTTTCTGTTGTCATGTAAAACAAATTTTAAAAATTACTGTTCGTCAGATTTAAACAACATTTCAGAAGCACGTCTTAAATCATGACAAACCTGGGCCTTTGAAATTCTCGAAGATGTCAAGAAAATCTACTTCTAGCAGGCAAAACTGAGTCACCCCTCCGGGCACCGGATCGACAGCTCTATCGACAAAAAGAGAGCGTGGTCATAGGATCACCTCAAGGTCCATTCTTTGCAAACTCGTATATGTACGAGGTAGAAGATGAAGTGCTTGTAGACGAAAAGTGTAACCTAAGGTTGACTGTCGCTACGCTGTTGACCTGTTTATGCCAAAGTCATATAGCACCTTGAACAATTACGCAACGCCTGGCACGCTAGCTCATTTCTGCAGCGCATATCTGAAATGCGTTACAATCATCAAATAGTATTTTTGGACGGTGAAATCAATGCTCAGTCTGGCTTTTTTGTAGCCAGTGTGCGCAGGACATCAACTGACATCGGTAAGTGCATAAATGCCTCGAGTGAATGTCGATATCGCTATAAGCGTGGCATACTTCAGGCATTCGCCAGACATGCAGACAGCAACTGCCCGACATGGACATGCACATCGAACTGGAGCAGTCACAAGATACGGCGAATCACGGTTACAGCAACCGTGACGTGGAAATTGGCATCCATGACGCCCTTTGCAACGTAGCTGAGTCCACAAGTCCACAAAAGGAAGAATGAACTCCATTTATGTATTTTACAGAAGGGTACACGTCAGCTGCATTTAAAACCGAATGTTTGCTGCAACCGCATATTAAGTGAACGGGTCCTTCGCGAGATAATTAAAAGCAACGTTCTTAGCCAAAACAAGGACCACCAAACCTAGCTCGTGACATATTGCGAGACCAGAAAAGTGTCCAACATTGTCATGAAAAAGTCCAAACCAGGGAAAGCAAGTGAGACATGCCATTGCGATCCATAAAATCTAATGGCCAAGCATAGCTTGTATGTTGCGTAATGTCAGTTACATTATCATAACGACAACCCTGTCAAGAGGCTTGAGCATCCATTTGCAAGATGGTGCTCTAAACAAAATATTCCGGGAACAAACCAACATGACTGAATGCGACAAATTCTCACAGCGTATATGTTTACTGCCTTGTTGTATTGATCGCCGCCGGCATTTCATATTGGAGCCGTTAAACATAGGAATAAACCAGCCATCAATGAATTAACAGTGAAAATCATGCATTACCCTTGAATTGCACTGGAAAGAAGGCTGACATAGCGAACCTGCTGCCAAGTTTTTCATCTGTCTCCCGTCTGCACTTTCTTGGTGTGTTTTCAATGTTAAAACTGTAAAGTTGTGCATGCAAAGCAATGTCGTGCATATTTTTAAGATATTGTGGAAAACTGACCAACTGTAAGCTTCAAAATTTGTTTTATCTTACGACTGAGAAAGTATCGCTGAAACGCTCTACCTAAAAGAACGTGTATGCTTGTAATGATTAAAACAAAAGTATTGGACAGGGACGAGAACGGCTAAAACATCCAACTCTTAGCATAAACAAGTTGGAAATTTGTGTATCCAATGCTACAGACAAAGCAGGTGTCAGCAAGTCTGACAACCGAACCGCTCAGCGTCCTCACACATTGAACTTACGCTCTCTGAGAGTTTGGACCGGGTACGAGGCGTCGCTGGGCTCGCTGTAGCCGGCGTCGTTGGCGGCCACCACCCGGAAGGTGTACACGGTGAAGGGCGTGAGGTCGGTGACGGTGGCGTTGGTCTGGCCGCTTACCTCCAGCTGACCGGCGTCCACTCCGGGCCACGGGCCGCTGGCGCCGCGCCTGCCGCGACACCAGGTCACAGATGGGGGGGGGGGGGGGAAGGGGGGGGAAGGGGGGGGGGGGCTGGTGGCGCTTCCCGACGGCTGCAGAAAAGGCTTTAAGAAGCGGGCAAACCGCCCATACTTGTAGCGTCAATAATTTCCAAGCACTGTCACTGCATTGCTGTTGAACTTTTACAGCCAAGCGGGTAGGCCGTGACCTTTGCTCCGTTGTCGGTGTGGGCTCCACCGAGAGACAATAACGGACAGGTCCAGGTTGAGCAAACCGCATGTAGCCACCAGTAAAATCGCTTTATATGCGTTTTTATGGGATGCTATTTCAGCAAGTAAGCTTCCACGTGGAATTCCACAAACAAAATCACTGCAAAGCTCGTAAATGTGTGATATCAAAGTTGAAAGGCGTGGCATGATGGCGTCGCCCTCCACCCCGAGCACCGATGCCGGGTCTAATCACGCTTTCCCACCCAGCCCAGCCCAGCCTCCGGCATGAGCGCCTTTTCCGCGAAGGAAACAGAATGTTTTCGATAAACGGTTCAAATATGTACCAGCAACTGCAGCAACTTATGAGTGTCTGCACACACTTCAGTGTGAAAAAGGCTTCTGAGAAAATATTTGAGATGCGTCTTTCTCCATCGCGAAATCCTTCGTGCGACGCTGTTTGTTGGCGGTATTTTGTGCCTTACACGCTTGCTTCATATCCCGTTTTGTTCCCCTGAACTCGTTTGTGCTGGCAAACTCTGATAATGCAGCCAAAGCAGTATGACGCATCTCTTCCGATGTTGACCCAGATCCGGTGCAATACTAATACTGTGTATACTAGCCAGCAGGGGTGCTGGAGCCTGCGGTGAGTGAAGGTGTTTGGGTTTCGGTGACGTCTAGATTGTGCGTGCGCTGTACCTGCTGTACCTGATGGTCAGTGGAAGGTTTGTGTTTCGGTGGCGTCTAGGTTGTGCGTGCGCTGTACCTGTTGTACCTGATGGCCAGTGGAAGGTTTGGGTTTCGGTGACGTGTAGGTTGTACGTGCGCTGCACCTGCTGTACCTGATGGTCAGTGAAAGGTTTGCAAGGCGTAAATGGCTGTGCGAGTAACAGGGTGATCCACTTGTTTTGAGTTTTTTTTTGCAGACGGCACCTCTGGGAGTGAAGTGCGAATAGGTTTTTGTCAAGCTCATGTCATCTTTTCTGTTGACATTCTCATTTGGCGTGATTATGTGTTCTGTTCTCCGATTGACAGCTTCATGCTGAGAGAGAGCTGAGTTTCTATGCTAGTTGTTTGCCCATAATTATAAGCGAGCTACGTACTGTGTACACACACAGCAGGAATTGTACTTGGCCACATATACTTATGCATTCACATTATCAGCATTTTGAGCATTATAGCTATTATTTCGTATCCCTTGTTCTGATCCTGTTCAGGGTTATTTTTCCATTATTTGTTTCACCTGTGTCTCCATAGTTTGCTTCTGCTTAACGATGCTTCCGCCGCCATATTACCTGACCTTGAGAGCTACGACCTCTAGTGTCAACCTGGGATGCAGGAGCTTAGCTGTCATGATACAGTGTTTATGAATGTCTGCATGATTTCTCATGTTTGTTGTAATTGTGATAGTTGTGAAACACACCCCGCTTGATTTTAAACGATGTTTAATTCGAAATTTAACTTAAATTAAACGGTTTTTAATTGGAAATCGAATTTAATTTTACCGGTGCTCAACTGCAAACACCTTTTGACAATAAGCATCAGTTTCGGGGCTGCAAAATTTTTAATGTCCATATCTAAAGGAAGATACGAAACACTTAAACTTCTCCCGCTCGTTGCATGCAGCCCGATATGACCTCTTGGCGATGGTTCGAACAGTGCTCCCATCTTCTAGCTCCTTGAATGACCAAAAGAACTCAACCTGACCTCGCTTCGGTATTGATCTTGAAATTCGGCATGACAATGATATGACTTGACAACGACCAACATTGACATACGCGTTGGGCGAAGACGGTTGAAGCCATCGTACATATCGCCCTGGCCACTCACCATCACAAAAACGATTACCCCCCCCCCCCCCCCCCCTGGTGGCTCGGTGGAAGCGTTCTGCGGCTGGGCCGTCTGATCGTTATTTGATGTGTTTGGCGGATTGTCGGCGGGGTCCACAAATCCCTCTCTTTGAGTTAGTCACCCGTTTTCTTATATACCGCACTTTTCATTAAGACAGGCAACTTCATTTGGGTTTTAACTGATGTGCCGGTCCTCCGTAGCACTGTCTTTGTTATGACACATGTGTCATGAAATCAATGAAATGAGTAGCATAATGACTGAATGTACGGCGCGGGCAGGCGGCGCAGCTCCGCCACATCGGGCCATGTACGGCGCATGCCTCCGGAGAAGATCCACCACATCGGGCCATGTACGGCGCTGGCCTCCGGAGCAGATCCACCACATCGGGCCATGTACGGCGCTGGCAGGCGGCGCAGCTCCGCTACATCGAGCTATGTACGGCGCTGGCAGGCGGCGCAGCTCCACCACATCGGGCCATGTACGGCGCTGGCAGGCGGCGCAGCTCCGCCACATTGGGCCATGTGCGGCGCTGGCAGGCGGCGCAGCTCTGCCATATGTATCAGCCATCAATCCACCCCAGCGAAGCGGCGCTGTCAGCCATCCCGGACACCGCTGCACTCTGGCCGCCGGCGCTAACGCGGATCAAATGGCACCGGTGGCGCGTGCGTCCGGTACAAATGGCCGCTTCTGTGGTGCGTCACGGCTGGAAACAATCAAACAGGGGTGCGCCAGCCGCGCCGGCTGGGCCACCTCGGCGTCCTGATGGGAGAGGCTGACTCGCGACAGGAAGACGCATTCATTGCAGGGACCCGAAGTGGTCCGAGCCGGCTTGGGTCGAATCAGCTGAGAGGGGATGGTGCGGAACTGGGCTCGAACGGCGTTCTCAGATTCACTGCCAGTGTTGCAGTCACTGAGGGCTCCGTAACGTAGCGAGTCCGCTGGTTTTTTTATTAGCGTAAAGACTGGGGCGAACCGAATGCTGCCCAGCATGAATTACACACGAGAAGGCGTGCTACGTGCCCAGCTGGAGGAAGCTTCGTCGGTTAGTTCTGTGTCAACTGCTGTTGCATCCTCCCGGTGCAGATTCAGCGCCACAATATGCGGCCCATTGGCAGCTATGGAATCTGAATCCTGATGCCGATAGGGCTCCGCTTCAATAAAAACCTTCATAACCACAAGTCCTTTCGATTATGGTAAGACTTAAAGCGCACCTGTAATTTGTAAAAGTCGACATCATATTGGGCTATCGATCATCTCTTAGAATGAGCATGTAACGTGACCGCACATCGATCCTTATGCTGAACCTCGCCAACATTTGAACGATTTGTTAAAAGTAATCCATTACGTTGCTCATTGCCCTGTAACCTTATGACAGAGTCCTGAAGACCTTCTTGCAGGGTGTCGTCAGGTGTTTGTGTTGTTCCGCAGGAGGCAAAAACAAACACACGGCGGCCCCGCGGATTAAGCAGAAATTGCTGTGGGTTACAAGACTAACGTGCAGGCTATTGCCAAATATGAGGCTGAAGCAGTGAAGAGGGTCATTTTTATCACCAAATGGGCTAAGCCTACAGCACTCGTGAATCTAAGCTTCAATTTTTGTTTGGGAAGGGGGGGGGAAACCGCATTACGGGATAACTAATTACACCACAGACTTAAGTCTTTATCTTATTTACTCACACCTTATCGCTTTGATTGGAGTTATCCGGATGTTTTGTCCAGTAGAAAATCTCTTTTTATAACTTCCATCACTATCTTATACGCACAACATAAGCTTGCTTATGCATCGCAGCAAATCCGAGCAATCTGACGGCGAAGTTGGTGGCGCGAAGAAAAACGATCGTTGAAGCCGGTGGGATGTTCTGGTGTTTTGAAGTTGGCACACGCACTGCTGTGTGCGACGAACTTATGTTTCCATGGGTTGACGACCATTCGGCTAAAATAGAGACCAGAAACACGAAGCAGCGAAAGAGCATTCAAATGATTCCAAAAAATTTACTAGCGAACTGCACTGTACCCATAGCTTTACTAACCTTCGCGCAACGGAGTCGGGTCGAGTACTTACATTTTTAAACCCAGGCTGCAGTAATGAAAATGCATCGTTGGTTTTGAATCGATCGTTTGGTTATGTCAGACCTCCAGGTCCAGGCCCCCGATCGCAGGCAATGCGTGCATAATGCATATTTTTAAGATTGTGCGATGTTGATTTGCCTCATTTTAGCAACTGATTTACCTTGCTACCTTAAAGGGAATTGTATTGTTTGGTAAATTGTAGCTGTATGTAGTGCAACTAAACAAACAAAATTCAGTGCTGTTTAACGCTTTGCCTGTGAGGCCTCCATAGTCCCATATGTCTGGTAGGGTTGGGGGCACAGAGAGTACGTGTCCTACCCCTCCTTACGGTCCCACGGGGAGGGCCCCTCCGGCTCGACGGTCAAGCGTTTGATTGGAAGGCTTGATTGGCCGAAGGGCTAGGCAGGGGACCATCCAAGTAGTTCCGTTCTGGCCGTTCTGGTGAAAAGGTCTGCTTTCTGAAAGAAGACTGGGAAGAAGAAGACTAAGCGACGATCTAGAAACGACCAGGAAAAAGAGACAGGCGCACCCTCGCTACCACCCACCTCGGACGACAGAGTTTGCATATACGGGGAATGGGGTATCGTCTCAGATGCGAAAGTTGGACTCAGTGTGAAGCGTGGTAGGGATGGGCATGCCGTCCATGTACTGACATTGAGAAAGTGCAGCAGCAATCGATCTGTGACCACTGTCATAGCCCGTGAAACCGGGTGCGCTCACCGAGGTTGGGAAAGGTGCACAGACGCGCAAGCGCACAATCTGACCCAAACTGAGACTCCATGTACGGATAACCCTGGCGATCGCTTTGAGTGTTGTGTGTTTCATTCATGTTGAGTGCCGCCTATCGCCTTTGAACTAACACTAGTAGAGCTAGATCCAACTAGACCACGCGCTGAACCAAGTCTATGGCTGGCTTTGTGATTCGCGGAGCTGCAGAGAAGGTCGCAAACTTCACTTGAGATGTGCGAGTTTGTTCGAACTCAAGCCAACAGCGTTAAAACCAAGAAACTATGTTAGTTTCAATGGTATGCTCTGCAATAATAATTTTGGGAATTTTTACAATCTTTTGAGAAACCGCCTGTTAGGTTATATTGCAACGGTTTCAGATGGATTTCGCTCCACATGAAAATTTAAGCTGTTCAAAATCTTGTCATTGACAGAGAGGATACCTTTTCACCCCTGGTGTCATGCTTCGGTCGCCAACCCTACAAGATGTGCATCAAGGAAACCCCGGTGTAATTATACCCTGAGATCTGGGTGCTGTTATCACCCAGTGGCTACCCGTTCTTGATCGAGATGTTCACAGGCAGGGCCACCGAAGAGGGCGGCAGCCGTCATCTGAGACTAAGACTTGGTGGCGACATCCTTTCCTGCTGGGATGCGTTGAAACTGTAATGAACCGTCAAGTCCTCTTTAGAGCTTTTTCATCATATCATAAACTTGACGATTTCGCTACTACAGCAAAAAAGGCTGCAAACCACAGGTCACGCACGTGATAACCGACGGAAGAAGTGCCCTCTGTCCAGGAGAAGAGCAGCTGAAGCAGCACCCGGGGACGGCTACTGACATCAATCAGCAGAGGACTGTTCGACGTGCAATGATGTAATGCAGACGACTGTGCCACCTTCAACACACTAATAAATGCCAAAACTAGCCAACCCATGGATGCTCTAACCATCGACCGAAAAACGGATCAATGATACCCTTTCTGAAACGGGTTTCGAATGTAAGACGTTGTGGCCTAAGCTGAGGGCATTGGGCCATGAAAATTGCGCCGAGTCATAGTCATGTGAATTTAAATCAACATCCACACTAAAGATCTGTTTTCTTGCCACATTTGGTTTCATTCCCTCAGCCGTACATCGCCGCGCATTTGTGAGTGAAGGTGTTTGGGTTTCGGTGACGTCTAGGTTGTACGTGCGCTGTACCTGCTGTACCTGATGGCCGGTGGAAGGTTTGGGTTTCGGTGACGTCTAGGTTGTGCGTGCGCTGTACCTGCTGTATCTGATGACCAGTGAAAGGTTTGGGTTTCGGTGACTGATGGCCAGTGGAAGGTTTGGGTTTCGGTGACGTCTAGGTTGCCGCTGCCATATTACCTGACCTTGAGAGCTACCGCCTCTAGGGTCAACCTGTGATGCAGGAGCTTAGCTGTCATGATACAGTGTTTATGAAGGTCTGTATGATTTCTCATGTTCGTTGTAATTGTGATAGCTGTGGAACACATCCCTGCTTGATTTTAAGTGATGTTTAACTCCAAATTTAAATTAAATTAAACGGTGTTTAATCGGAAATCGAATTTAAATTTACCGGTGCTTAACTGCAAACACCGCTTCACAATTAGCATCAGTTTTGGGGCTGCAAAATGTTAAATGCCCATATCTAAAGGTAGATACGAAACACTTAAACTTCTCCCGCCCATTGCACGCAGCCCGATATGACCTCTTGGCGATGGTTCGAACAGTGCTCCCATCTTCCGACTCCTTGACTGACCAAAAGAACTTAACCTGACTTCACTTCGGCATTGACCTTGAAATTTGGCATGACAGTGGCATGACCTGACAATGACCAACATATATATAATCACTCACAGTATTGCCAGCCGTCACCACCGTCCCAGACGGCCGTTTTCAAGCAATGCTATTCGTGGATACATAAAGTCAGCCCATGCGCATCCGCAGCTCCGCTGAACATGTCATTCAGATGTTTTCCCTTCCAGTTCGTTCCCTCCAAAATACCGTCCCGAACCAAACCCGAGGTTCAGAACCAAACTGGTTATTCTGATGTTGTTACAGCCGCTTATTCTCAGGGAAGTTGCCGTAGTCGTTGCCGTAGTCGTTGCCGCGCCCGTTATATCGTATTTTAGTCGCAAGTTCGCGGCAACAGCCAGGGGACATGGTATGACCCATGATGCAGTCCATAATCGCTTGCATTTAAACGATCGAAGCGTGCAAACAGGTAACACAGATATTGTCTGCGAACGTACCTGTCAGCGACAGCAAAGCACTTTTCGGAGTTGTATGACTTCGTCTCACACTCCGTTGTAACATCAGCTTACAATATCCCGCAGGCTGCCGTCACTGACACACATGGTTTGAATTTGATCGGCGATCTAATTAGTGTTCTGCACCCTAATATCGGCTGTCTAATTTCCAGCACCAGTGCAAAGTTTCACGCGGTTACGGTGCACTGTTCAGAATTTATCATTTGTAAAGCCAATACCCCCACCCCACCCCACCCCACCCCACCCCCTCCACACCCCCCACCTCCCCCTTAGCACATGTTAAGGGAGGCACACGAGACACAACGTAGACAAATGTTATGGGACGCGCTGGCCCTTTCGTCACGCTATCTGATCAAATTCCCATATTTTTGGATGCTAAGACCACGATGGTATAATTTTTAAACTTTTGCACTGCCATCAACATCAGCATGCGCCGCTTGTACACTGTACAGCGGTGGAGGGCCGCAGACATTGCCTCGATAACTTTTACAATTTGCTGTGATATTCCTCGGCCCTCCGCTGGCCTTTTCGCTCCAAGTCCTCACGCGGCGCATGCGGCCGGGCTAACTAATTGCGGCTCATCAGGCCGCTCGCGCCCTTACGACCGGACTGATCATTTGCCATCAGGGTCGTTACCCCCGATTGGCGTCATTTTGAAGGGAGAGGGAGGAAGAGAGGGAAGGAGAGGGAGAAAGAGAGAGAGAGAGATGAAAAGAGAGAAGTAGGGAGAGGGAGAGTGAGAGGGAGGGAGAGAGAGGAAAAGACAGAGAGAAAGAGAGAGATGAGAGAGAGAGAGGAGAGGAGAGAGAGAGAGAGAGGGAGAGGAGAGAGGAGAGAGGAAGAGAGAGAGAGAGAGAGAGAGAGGGAGAGAGAGAGAGAGAGAAGCGTTAGCATCGGTGTTAGAGATAGAAGCGCTGGTGTTACAAGGTACTCTCCTACACAACGCCTGTAACGGGTCTGCTTTGACATTTTTAGGCTGCGTTCAGCTCCCTATAAAATGCTCCCAGCACTCTTAGACAGACATTTCCAGAACAGCACGCCAATGACGGATTCCAAACAAGACCTCTTCCCAATCAAATGCAGTACAACATATTTGTCGCCGCCGGCGTATTACGGTTCAGTTGATCACTGCGACACGCTGCCAACTCATGTGCTTGAAGCCCGCTGCCACAGCCGCACAAGGTCCTCTCAGTCCTACATGCATCAGTCAAAACCTGTTGGGTGTTACACACTTTCAAGACTTTGATTAACGTGTCATTCATGCCATTGCATGGGGTGCATGCTTCCATGATCCAATGCTTTACTGCACATTCCTTTTTTAGTCACCCGTTGAGTCAATGCCCCTGAGGGCACGTCGGAATGGACAACACTTGTTTGACCTGTGAACCTGGCATCACTGCAGCTTGAGGACCGCACGGCTGTCAGAAAAGAAAGGTTTAACATATGGAGGCGGGGTGATACCCCAGCGAACCACGGCCACTGAGCTTTCTGCGAAGAAATTCATGTCATTTTCTGTGACCTTCCAAGGTGATAATAAAAGTCAAAACATCAAGTTTACCATTCAACTCACACAATCTGATGCGATATCGGTAACAGAAATTAAGCTCAGGTATGACACTCTGGCTGGATCAGACCAGTTGACCGGCACGACCCTGTCACCTGGTCAGGATGATGTAGTGCTGGATGGGGCCATTGGTGGCTTGGAAGCTGGGAGCCCAGCTGAGCACCACCTGCCGAGACTGGTTCTTGATCACCATCGGCCTCCCTGGTCGACTCGGCGCGTCTGTGGAGCATTGGAGCTCGTTGCCATGACGACACACAGAAACATTCCAATTGAAGCACCATATATGACACTGATGGATCTTAAAGCAAGATAAACCAACAAAGCCATCAAATTGCATGACTACCGAAAACGTCTCACTGCCAGGATGTTCTCAAAGCATACTGGTGAGCTACGTCGTCCATAACAGAAGCCTGCGATAAACTGGGTTTACGGTTTCAACATTTGTTCAGGCAGTGTTCTCAACAGCTTCTCTGATCGGCTATGCATCTGAGCACGTTTGAAAGTGAGTCATTTAAAGCAGACACGGAACAAGATGTACCAGGACGACAGTCGAGCGGCCGGCTTATGGCCCAAATTGTTGCCGGCCAGTGATCTGGAGTAAAACGCAGCTTGTTAACAAGCTTGCAGACGGCCAGTCTAGGCCAAACGTCGTCCGAAATGACCCGAGTATAACCCATACAGCGAATTACGAGTTGGAAAACCATGCAGAATCAGGATCTTAGGATCCCCGTTTGATGTCATTGCTTCTTTAATATGCAGCGCCGTCTTCGCCAACGGCAGCAGGATTTCAGCGTCATCCCCGGCAACAGCGTATGAACAATTCATCTCTGATTCTTAACGACCGTCATCTCCATATCCCGGAATTTGCTATCACCCTTGCGCATCACATGAACATCGCATGCCACTTATATCACCCCACTCAGCAGCCCGCCCGAAATACGTTATTTCATTGGAGGTGTTGTTTCAGTGGTTGTTTACCGGGTGTTTATAAATTCTGATGGCCTCGGCCAGCGACGCTGACCGGCAAACCGCATTAGGGTGACCACACGCGCCTTTAAGTGCTCATTCTCGTAGGCCGGGAGCAGCATGGCTAGCACGGTGTTTTCCGGATGCGCCATGCATGTATTCTGCCTGGGCTGTTGTGTACAATCTGGCCGCGCAAGCCGTCCCGCTCCACTCCCGCCCTTGTTAGCGACTAAGGAGGCCGTGCATCACTACACGCGGCTGCTGTCTCGTGTCAGCGTGAACGGCTCGGCGCTGGGGTACCGCTCAGCCATGCAGACGCTTGGTGCTGGGGCACGGCTCAGCCATACAGAGATATCCCTATAGACCCTTCCCCAACTCTGGAGAAGAGGGAGAGGGCTCCACATATGCCCCCCCCCCCCCCCCCCCATGCAGCGGGGACAAAGCAGCAGGCGAGACGGCCGTGAGGCCAGTGATTTTCCGCCCCTCCTGAGCATCGTCATTTACCAGAGAGACAGCCATTAGCCGGACGGGGAGAAGAGCACCGATCCTCCAGCACCTGCCGTCATTCGGGCCGCAACGACAGAGAGTGTTTACAATCGGCCAGATTTCCGAGATCGATCGACACGCGGTGTCGGACAATCCACGAAAACACAGACACGCAAACACCCCACCCCTCCCCTCGCACTCCAAGCTGACGCCAGGAGCGAGCTCGAGCAAGAGAGAGCCGGAAGACTCCGCAACAGGCGGCGGGCAGGCCCGCTCCAGGTGAGGCACGAAGAGAGCGCGGCGGACTTTGCACGCGCTGCGGGCGACACCGCGCTCCAGTCGTTGCCTTGGGACGCGGTGAAACCCGATCTCGGCGATTGTGCCAGTCACGCCCAGCGACGTATGGGATGGATAGTGGGCTCCAGCCCGATGATTGGATGATTCAGAAATGAGGGCGGACCGACCCAATAGCGCACCTCTGAAACGTTATAAGGGATCGAGCTATGAGGAAAGGAGAGAGTGGCAGCAGATGCGCACCTGGAGGAAGAGGACTCCAACACGGGGCTACGCGGCCGACCACGTCCCCGCTGGGCAGCCGTGAGTCGCAGGAGACCCACCCTGTTTTCTTTCCTCCCTCGTGATCAGACAGAGGCAACGCTCACCCGACTTCCGCGACCCGGCGAAGCGGCACCCAGACGAGAGCGGGCGCGGTACCAAGGCTCCGTCCGCAGGTCAGGATGGGTACGGGACGGGAAACATTAGGCGGTAACGGGAGCTCGGCCCGCTCGTCGCAGTGGGTGCGCGAGGGCGGAGGACGGGTGGTTGAGTTACTGGACGAAATGTGACGAACTTTTCTAATACAGATTGTGAACTGCAGTTTAAATATCTAGCCGATGGACTAGCTGTGGGGGGGGACATGAATAGGGGGAAATGTGTAGAATTTAAGCGTGTGCATTACTCATGCAAATGGAATAAGAATAGATAGGACACAAATAAATAAGTACCTACCCAATAACAAAGGATTTTGGCTGGAAGAGTACCAAACTCACATCAAGTAGCTACCTGCTGGGTGAGAAATTTCCCTCAAGTCCATGGTGGCAGAAGACAACATCTGCATCCTTTTAGATGCTTGAATTTGGGGAGGAAAGTGAGTAAACAAATAGCTGTGAAGATGCAGCAATCTTTTCCTGGTAGACAGCTAGAAACGGATCAGTTGAAGCAGCATGCTTAATTTGCTGCTCTTAAACTCATAGATTTGGGTAACAGAGACGGACTCGGCAGACAGAAACTATACTGTTGCCATGGAGGCTATCTTCTTCAAATTTTCTCACAAAGGAGCTTATATTTTTAAACTTTGTGGTGTGCTTTTTACCCAACAAAACATACTCGTGCCAAACTTTTCAACTCTAAAATGCAGTGTCACCTAACTGGGGTAAAAGAGGTTTCTGATCAAATCAGGAGGAATAGTAGCTATAGTTTTACATAGCAGCGCACATGAGCGTCACTCATATATATATATATATATATATATATATATATATATATATATATATATATATATATATATATATATATATATATATATATATATATATACATATATATATATATATATATATATATGAGTGTGTATATATATATATATATATATATATACACTATATATATATACATATATATATATATATATATGTGTGTGTGTGTGTGTGTGTGGAAATATACGCATGTATGCATTTTTCGCGTATATTAACTACTGTTTAAATATGGACTGTATCGTAGAAATGGATGACACTTGCTCCTTGTTTAATCCCCTGAATGTTGGTGTCCTGTAAAAAACCTTGGTTCACTGTATGCACACCACACACACACCCACACACACACACACACACACACACACACACACACACACACACACACACACACACACACACACACACACACACACACACACACACACACACACACACACACACACACACACACACACACACACACACACACACACACACACACACACACACACACACACACACACACACACACACACACACACACACACACACACACACACACACACACACACACACACACACACACACACACACACACACACACACACACCACACACACACACACACACACACACACACACACACACACACACACACACACACACACACACACACACACACACACACACACACACACACACACACACACACACACACACACACACACACACACACACACACACACACACACACACACACACACACACAAAATGGACAGGAAAATAGGTGAATCTATTCTTATACAAAGTCGGCAACTAAGCTTCAACATACAGGGCTCACCATGGCCGATTATGCGAACGTGATAGGTGCCTTAATGTGTGATGTATGCTGGCTTTAAATCGTTTTGCATGTGCAAGTGATGTCTGACGCGTGATGTGTGATGCATGTGTAACTGAAATCGGGTGAATACATAATTGATACGTGATGTGTGATATCTGTTTACTTCAACTTGCTTGCATGTTTGAGTGAAGCGTAATGCGTGATGCCTGTTTACTCGCATTTGTTTGCAAGAACACGTATTTTTCGCGCATTCTATTTCTTAGGTAGATGTGCACTGTATCGTAGTGATGGATGACAATCGCTACTTCTTTGATCCTCTCAACGTTCGTGTCCTGTAAATAAAAAGTGTGGCTTGCTGGGTTTAAAAAAAAAGCTGAATAATCAAGTACGATCACCGGCAGGCAAATTTGAATTCACTTCGGCTATTCGTTTCGATAAAGGCATGCTGCTGACATATCAACGCGTCTATACTTCCATTCTCCTTGCTTCTCTCCGAGGAATAAGGCTATTTCTATTGTCTGATCTATGTTTGCGCGTTGCTCGTTATTGAAAACACTGTATTGCACTGGGTTAAAGGCTGTTTTGAGCTGCCATCTCCATCGAGCATTCCAGGGACTGTTTTGTGATAATTTCGACTTGTTTGGTTGTCTACCCGGTGTGTCCGTGCGAGCTGACAGGTTTGAGAATCCAGTCCAGTGCTCATCCATGCTTTGGTGGGAATTTTTGATCCGGTGCATTTCAGCCAACGGATTAGTCCACAATCTGGGGATTGGTGCAATCCCTGAAGTGCTCCACTAACTTGTAACTCTGGGTATGCTTAGTTCAAAAGACCAAAGGTGGCATAATCCATTTCAGGTGTTGAAGCCCTATAAGCGTTGTAAGTACTGTAAGCAAGCTCTGTAAGTTCTGTGAATAAACTCTCTAAGTGCTGCATGCCTATAAACGGGAACGCTGCGAGGATATAGGATTTTGTTTCTTACGTCTGCGTCAGAGATGCCACCAAATGTTTTTAATAACTTTAGAAAGGTTTGAAAGGAAGAGATCTGGCAACAACCCTGCCCCAAAAGTATTGCGATTTTTAAAAAAATTGGAATCATTGGTTTTACCAATTCGCCTCCACTGACGAGATATTGCCACAGCCCCCAAATTTTCTTTGGTTTGTGTGGAAGAATGAAGTTATCGGATAGCATCCAGCAATATTCGCTTCTAAACACATTGACATCATTGAGAAGGTATCGTTAGCTCTAGCCAATCGCTTTTTGAGTACGTCGCTTGTCAGCGCTGACAGCAGCTTGCAAACGCAGCGATGGCGGCGGTCGTTATGTTGATTTCTTGTTTTGTTTACATTCAGCTGAGGGCTGTGGATGTACGGGTTTAGACGCATGGTACGGCTGGCCAGTTGATCCGCACCGCGATTAATTCATGTTGCCCTTCTTTATACTGAGATGAGGCAGAAAGATCGTGTCGTGTCCATCGGCTGCACTAAGGTCAAGGAAAATGTATTTGTCCTACGTTGTTTTGGCAGCGACTATAGGCGGCTAAAATTCCTTTACCCTAAGATTAATGACCAAATCCCAAACGCACGTGCACCGAGTTCAACGATCTAAATAACAAGGCCTATGCGCTGAAATTGTTGCTGCAGAGTCGCTGGTACACCAGGCATGTTCGGGGAATCATATTTCCGTTTCGAATTACGTAAGGCATCTTGAACTGCGTACCGCTGTATACCGCCAGCGCTCTCCCTATACGCACGAGACCGTAGCAACCGAGATAATGGTCATGTCACTAGCGCGCAGTTGCTCGCCACATATAAGCCAGTGCATTTGTCCTTTCCTGCCCGCTGATTGGTTCATTTTTAGCATTGTAGTTGCTCACGTACATCTTTCGATGCGATCGATAAAAAAACGAATAAAAACTGTTGCAAGACTCAAACAGACATTTAAGCACCAAAATTAACCAAAGATAGTTGCGAAACTCCCCTTAGGAGTGTATTTGTAAAATCAAAACACCAGACACACTTCTTCTAAGCCCCTGCGAAACATTTCTAGTCGCAAATTGATTATAAAAGTTGTGTGGTAACAAAATAAGCGTTGAAATCCTTTGTGAAAACGGTTATTTATAACTTACACACTGATGTAACCAAAAGCCGTATGGAATGTTGCAACAAAATGATGTTGAAGATATCATGGCTTTTGGACTTTTTTGGCGGTGACGTTTCTCTTCAAAATTTCAAAGTTTCAGCGTTACGCCGGCCATTTTCCACCCTTTACCAGGTACCAATTGGTTTAGAGAAGAACCGGAAGATGTCTGGTGTATATCCATGTGCGTACCTCAGTTTGTCGTCGCCGCCAAATCTCCCCGTATCCTCAAGCTTCAAACATGCAGTCCGGACCTTTGCAAGAGCAGCGCCTCTAACCAGTGCACCAAATGGGATCATTTCGTTTGCCGAGTTCAATGTCGGTGCATACACAGGCTGCGATATTTTGGACCCCGAAAACAGGGCTGCTTTAAAATTGAAAGATACTTAGTTTGGCATGCAGCTCTGACCTCGCTTCGATTTCTTTTCAGGTTCGGTATTATAACACAAGCGGTGCCCAAAGTTTTGCTGCTGTTAAATGGCGATCAAAGCGGCAGCAGGTCTCGTAAGATGACATAGAAATATCGGAAACAGGAGGACGTTCATTGGGCAAGGCCGTAGCCAGACATGCAACACAGACTCCAGTTAACAAGCAGGAGCAGCTTCTCGCACGCCTTATCTTACCGAGCACCACCAGCGTGACGGTCCTGTGGTCAGGAAGCTGGTTGTTGAACGAGCAGCTGTATGCGCCGCTGTCGGTGGCCCGGACCGGAGCGATCAGCAGGGCCCAGGTGCGCCGGTCCAGGTCCAGGCGGCCGCGGTCACCCTCAATGGACACAGTCCCCGCCATGTAGGAGGCCAGCTGGCCCTGCCGGACACGGACATGTCGTGTTGGGGGCCAGCTGGCCCTGTCGGACACGGACATGTCGTGTTGGGGACCAGCTGGCCCTGCCGGACACGAGCATGTCGTGTTGGGGGCCAGCTGGCCCTGTCGGACATGGACATGTCGTGTTGGGGGCGACACTATCCGACACGGACGCGCCGTGATGGGGACCAGCTGGCCCTGTCGGACACGGACATGTCGTGTTGGGGGCCAGCTGGTCCTGTCGGACACGGACATGTCGTGTTGGGGGCCAGCTGGTCCTGTCGGACACGGACATGTCGTATTGGGGGTGACACTGTCCGACACGGACGCGCCGTGATGGGGACCAGCTGGCCCTGTCGGACATGGACGCGCTGTGAAAGGAAAAGTAGTAACCAGGAGACGGCGTGAAGTCGGGCCTGGGAACCAGCGGACCACCAGGAGGGTCCGGCGTATAGACCAGGAAACACTATGTGGTTGACGATTTGTGGGCACGGCAGACGACATGCAGTCAGCTGTGGGAACACAAAGACGTCGTTAGTCAGGCACGTGTAGGTGGAAACGCCGTGCAATCACATGTAGGAGCCAGGAGGCAAAACGCCGGTAGGCGTGGGGCTAAGACATGCAGTGCAATCAGGTGAAGGTACCATGAGGCGTGGTACGGTGCCACTGGCGATATGACGTTAAATGTTGAAAAAGGGTCCACCGGGTGGCCATCTTGACTATGTTGGTATTGTCAAAACTGGGGGCAAGCCTCCTCAGTATCATCACCTTTCAGTTTCTCACCAACGCAAACCTAAAAAGGTGGTAACTTTTTGCATCGCATCAGCCCTGCCGAGTGTCAGACGCGACTGTACTTCGCGGGAAAGTTGGTAAAAGGTAAGATAGTAAGGACGGCTACCAGCCTGCGGCCGAAGACCGGATTCACGATGAAAAGGACGGCACGTGACTATCGGCGTGGACCTTCAGAGAGCTTGTTTGACAGGCACCATTCACCAGCTGATTACCAATCTAAGCAAGCACGCCTGATTGAATGTGGGATTTGGTCTCAAACAAGGACTTCCGCTAGATGACGACGCGGAAGGAAGTCCATAATTGAATGGATCCTTGTTGCCATGCTCTTTAATCCTTACATTTCTCTTACATCCCGTCAATGGTATTGATCTGGCTTGCGGGATGCGCACCATGCTCTGGACAATGGCATCAACGGCACAGTTCCCATACAGTAGCTCACTGGGTGGGCTAATACGTGTCGGAAAGACGGCCCGGACCGCCATTCGGAGCGCTCTGCTGATCAGAACAATCCTCCAGCCCGCCTCGTCTCAAGCTTGCGTTTCCCAAACAAACCCTATCCTATGCTCGCCCTGTTTGCACTGTTGATCAGGCCAATAGAAGGCAACTTATTACGGAGCGCACGGAGCGTCAAAGTCGGTGGCGCCTTAGATATGTTGACGGACGTAGATCCTGTACGCAGGTGTTCCTAAGCTGACTTTGAAACAGGTCTGATCAGAATCACGAGGTTGAAGTTCGCCTTTACCTATGAGCGTCTCAGCTGGTTTTGTGCCGGCTACGCCAGACCGGCAATTGTGCGCCGTGTGTAGCAGGCGCGGTGGAGCATGTATTTGTTGGCGGCGGTGAACAGATGGAGTAGAAGGACCGCATTTGCTTCAGATTACGAGGTTTCAGTAAAAATCAAAAGTCATAAAAATAAATACATGATGTCATCTCAACCAGACTTGCAGTGGTGCATGCCATGGAAAAATCAGCACAATCTGGGCGGCTTACTCATCTTGTATTTTACCAACATTTGTCATTTGATAAAAGCAATGTTCCAACTGTTCATATAAGATCCGGCAATAGGAAACGTGATAACTCATATGACATACTCGTGCACATATAAAGGTCTGTCAGCAAATACAAAGGTCTGCCAGCACATACACAGGTGCCAGCACTTACAAGGCGCCAGTACTTACCGTCGGGCTGGCAATGGGGCATGTGCTCCGAGCCGGACATGTCCAGTTCAGCCGGTGGATGATATATTCGCCAGCGGCGTTCGCCCCCGAAAGTCCCGGGCAAGGAATAGTGGCGTTCTCTCCAGCTTTCACCAGCACCGTCTCCATCAGTTTGTCGCACCGAGCTGCCAACAGAATCAGCAGCGGTGGCCAAGAGGCTACGGATGTGCCCAACAGCGACGTCGTTAAAATTGCACAGGAGATATATTTGATTTGATAAATTGCCAAGAAAATAATCAGACATACTTCAAGTATAGAATGCAATCTGCCCTGCAATCTGTTAACCCCCACCTTACGAAAGCCGTGTGCACCTCTACTGATGCGAATAAAAGAAAGCGTTTGTGATTGGCCCGGCGGGCGGTAAGGCCTGTTCCGAGGAGCGCACTGGTTGAAGTTTGAACCAGTACGTCTCTTGGACAATGTAATGCTAACATTTCCAAAGCCAAAGTGCGCCGCGAAAAGAACCACTATGGTAAAGGTCAACGCCAAGGGGAGAAATCAAAGCCATAGTATAACGTTTCCTTGAATTCGTTGGATGATAGCTTCATGTTAGCATGTATTTTTGTATAAACAGAGTGTTTTAAACTTTCGTACCACTTAGTAGTTTCGTTGAATTCGGGTGACACTAGCTTCGTGTTCGCTCATCTTTTTGTCAAATACAGCGCTTCAAGCCTTCATAGCAATTATTACACTAACATGCTGACACTTTGGGGTGTTGCAAACTTTATAGAACAAACAACTTGGAAAAGCAAACAAAAATTTTAATGTATTGCTCTCATATTGGTGAGCAGGAAATCAAGTGGAATTTCTCCCGTAGGAGCGGCTACTTCAAATAGAAATTCTGAGCCATTCATAAAGATTTCGGGGAAACTGGTATTGCTGATTAAATCGTACTCGTCTGATCTAAGATTAAATAAAAAGTAAAAATGGTGGAATGCTCTCTTTCAGAATATGAGCCTGAGATGTGAGGTATCAGTTTTCCCCTGGGCTACAGCTAATCCTCGCACCAGCGAAAAAAATACATTGGATCGATCTGAGCAAGATCTCTGGAGTGTTAACAAGTTTTGCGCTACTACGCCGATCACTATTTGGCAAATGTAATTCCCTCCATGGTAAACAATTAGCTCCGTCCAAACACGAAACCATGGAATACACCGACATGAAAATGATATTGGTGTTTCCCTTATTGCATTTCAAGCATATTATACATGTGCTACTACAGCATATTGTACGATATCAGAAGTTTTGTGTGTTTTGAGCTTATGTTGATTTTTCCAAGTTACACGAGTGTAACATTGTCTACCGTTAGCGGCCATCGTCCACGCTGGCCATGTGTTCCGTGGTGTTACAAAAAGCATCTAGTTACGTTCGTAAAAGTGTCTCCGTGGACGTTATCACCCGCCAAAAAATAAAATATCACAAACTTTTCTGGTGCTGGAACACAAAAGTGAAGTGCACCAGAGGTATGGGAAATTTGGGCGCTATTAAACGACGTGCCAGGAGTTAGTTGTCAACAAACTTGACACGCGTGCGGATGTCCGGTTGAATTCGACGCGCTTTGCTGTTGGTCAGTTTTACCTGTTTAGACTTCAAACACTACGGGGGTTGGAGACATCAGACTCGCAGCAAAGGTAACCCTATATGTGGAATCACTTGTAAAATTTAAGGTCCAAAGATAATGGCATTCGATTCAAACAAGGTCAAGCAAGGTAAAACTACAAATAGTGTCTGAAGTGACCTCATACCTCTTCATGCAACTTCGTTTAGCCTAGGCACTCGTTCTTAGCAAATATCACTAGGGCTCGTTTTAGCTCAGTGAAGGGCTCCATAAGAGGGCTTTAGTAGGGCTCGTTTTGAACTCTAAATAAGCGTTTAGAATTAAGCCAGATGACATCTTAAAAAAACAAAAGTTGATAGGCTCATTTTGGGCCGGTGACCTCCTTTGACCTTCATGAAGTCCAAAAGTTGCCTGTTGACGTCCCTGTAATCATAACATTCAAATTGAGCGTCAAAACTACTCCATAGGGAAAATTTTGGTTTAGTTCTCGGTACGACCTACATACCTGACCCAGGATCAATGCGTCAGATGACAATCCAAAATTCAATTATCCTATGTGTAAGGAAATGTTTCAAAAACGTATGCCTTCGTCTCACACTCTGTCGTCACATTAGATTGGACGGTTTCCCGGGCATTACCTTTGCTGACAGCCATGGCCTGACTTTGACCTGCCATGGATCAGCGATGGTATGAGGTGCACCCCCTTTTATGCTAAAAGATTGGTCTCTCAATTGCCTACAGCTTCTCAACGAGGCGAGGCGAGGCTACGCCGCGACGTTCGAAAGCTATTCTGGAAAAAGTGCCAGCTTCGCATAGCGGCATAATTAACTGCAATGAAAGTGATGTGATATCTTCACTCCTAGCTCCTTACTGTCCCCGCTGATAAAATGTTATGCAGCATTCTGCTGGGTGGCTTTAGGATCAGACCATTACAGGGCATGATTCTCCCTGTAATCAAGTTTATAGTCAAGTTCCATGTTTATAGTCTACATCGTACTTAAAAATATATCTGCATGACACAGACCTGTGCTGAAAAATTCAAGTTCGCATTGGTAATATTTGTATCATGTATTTGCATACATTTGTCGGTATATCTGAAGCTTTATTTGGTATTACTCCGCATCATCTCCTGCAAATGCTGCATGTGCATTTATATATATATATATATATATATATATATACATCGAGCAAGCCTGACCTTTCTTTGCGAGTAAACCAGGCAAAAACATACCTACGAACAGCTGCCGGAAGTAGCCTGTCGCTGTCAGTTTCCGCTCACAGTGTATAACGTCCAGAAATCCATGGCATCGTATATCTCACAGGGAATATCGTCGCCATGCGATACGCGACAAGGTGTGGCCCGTGGTGGGAAAAGTAAGTTCTGACCCTGAGCTCCCCTTTCACGTTGTGACGAATTGTCCAAGCCAATAGGTTGGGAGCTCATGTGTCTTATTTCTCACGAGACTAGTTGCAGGACACAGTCGTCTTGGAATGGGGCTGGCCCCTCTAGTATTAGCAAGGTGGAACATCGCTAAAAACAAAAATGGCATTCGCGTGCCCAGGACAGTGCAGGATGACAGAGACGCATGCGGGGATGAAAAATTGATATACGCCAAACGTGGTTTTTAAATCGCAAAAGCTGGCTCAGACTGTCGGCGGGCCTAGGGCTACTCACCAAATCGGGTTACGAGTGTGAGCAGAAAGGCGACGCCAAACCAGACAACAAAAGCACTTCTCTGCCTTCCAAGACGTTGCCACATGACTGCCTGTTCCTCTAGGGGTTTGAATGATTTGTGTTTGCGTCCTGGTTGCGGTGCCAGATTAGCACGCCGACGGCCATTTAGTGCCGACGTTCCCGACACTGTGGGTGGTCACGATCACACTCTTGCCCACTGAAGTATCTCCCAGTGATACTGTCTCGATCGCGTGCCCCACAGGCCGGCGCCGACGTCCACTGTCTGCGGCAGACAGGACGACGCGCCCTCGCAGCAGCGGGCCGGGTGCCGTACTGGACGGCCGGCCCGCGCGGCCCCTCCGTCGGGGCCGACGCGTCGGCGTCGAGGCCGACGCAGCAACAAGCCGGTCGTGGGGGCCGGCCAACGGGCAACCGCCGCCAAAGGTCAAGGCCGGGGCGGTGGGGCGGTTGACCGCCGACGAAACAACCCAATCACTCACGTGCGTCGAAGCGGAGCATGTCCGGTGCGGCGGCACGGCGACAGTGGCCAACAGGTGTGATGTGCTCTTATGGGGTTCGCCCGTTGAGAACTGCCCAAGTGGAACTCAGCTATGGGCGACTAGTGGCGTCGCGCCCACGGCCTTGCGCACTTAAGAGGAAAATCCAAGTGTCACCGAACTCCACAGAAGAGATGAAATGGAAAAGACACTGCACCCCTCGCAGCTGATTTCACTGACAATGCATATATATATATATATATATATATATATATATATATATATATATATATATATATATATATATATAGTACCACTTCTTCACATAAATGTCAATACGCTCACCACGAACTTCCCAGATAAAACTCATCTGCCGACAACTGTTGGTACTGCGCCCTAGGGCTAAGGCTCTGTTGGGAAACGTACAGTTTTTCCCAAACTGCGAAAGATCAACGCCAGGATAACAGAGAGGCTTGGCATACAAGGCATCTAACATCATTTTCACTGTGCTTCTCTTTTCTTTCTTTTCACTATTCTTTGAGAACTATATGGTTACTCACTTTGAAAGCGATTAATCAACCGTAGATTGCGTATAGAAACGTATGACTGTGAATGAGCAGCATACGACAAAATAAAATGAAAACAGAAATCGGACGGGTGTGTTGTACAGGCCGCTGATAACCTTAGAGGAGCGTCATCGAATGCACACAGTCGCAGCCTCGGGCTCCATAATCTAATAAGCGTTGTTACTGGCAGCTGAAAGCTGCATCTCAGCGTTATTGAACGCGCTCAGTAAAGATCTTCCGCGCGACTAGAAACATTTTTCTCGGGCCACCGTATTCCGGACACCATGGTTTAGGTAGGCTGTCAAAAGCTAGTAATGTCCCGCCAAGAGCTCACCGTGGTCGGTAAGAGAGCACGCCATTTTGGCCACTCCTTTGTAGCTCCTTGGCTCCATGAAAGTACTCAGATACGCCAGTGCTAGTTAGCTAGCTTGTTGTAATTGAGAATCTAGCTCGGTATCGCTACATGATCTTTCTTCCGCACACTCGACTCTGACAGTTGCGCCCTTTGTGAGTAACTTGTTCGAATATGGAAACTATGTGTGACTTATCTCATCCTTGCCAGACTCCGTGTCAGCAACTGCCACTCCCCTTCGCCGTCAGCCGTTTGACGAGGTCTGCGGCTCACCGGCGCAGACCTCGTCAAACGGCCTGACGTGGGGAGAGGGGCGTTTGGCGGCAGCGATGGTCGACCGCTGCGTACACAGGTGCTATTCGGTGCTGAGTAGATGAGTCGGTGCTTGGTAAATAAGTCGGTGCTCGGTGGATGAGTCGGTGCGGAAATGCCTCATTTGTCACCTATTTTAAAATAACAAGCATGGAGTATCAAAAACGTTTTTTTTACTGGGAATAGCTATATTCATTTCCAAATCGATGTGGAAAATTTTTCAATCAAGCTGTGCATGCGTTCTCATGGTTCTTGAATTTGAGACAAAGAAGCATGAAGGGCTCAGACACCTTGGTTGATTTAAAATTTGAAACGCCATATTTATTCACAACTCGCTTTGTAACATAAGAAATGTGAGTTGTGTACACTCATGTTCTGGTATACTGGCACGTGAAATTTAGTCGTGCTAGAAACTCAACGGCCTAACACCTCGTTGGGTTTTTGGTCCGCGAGAAGCACCTTTCTAGATGCGATCGTCTAAAAATTATCCTTTTAAGAATATGAAGAATGAGGGAGTCTTCAGCTTCAAAAAGGTAGCTCCAATGGCTCTAATGTTCTGAAACTCGTGCCCAGAGGTATATGGTTTGGCTATATGACTTCACCACAGTGACATAAGCGGAGTTCCACGTGGGCGGCAGGTATCCTGTGAGCCCGTACAGGAAAACGCGAATGGGTGACGACAGCTTCGAAACCATCCATTCGCATGCCAATTAATCCACCTCTCCTCCCTCTCCCGGCTGCTCCTCCCCCTCCCCACCCCGCCTTTCCCAAGCCACCCCCGGCTGGGTCCGGCCCGTAACCGTCTCCGGCTGATCCGGTCGGTAAGCCGCGGACCGTTTTGTATGCATTGTCTATCGCATCTGATATCCATAGCCGTCATTCGGCTGGGCAGCAGACGGCGGCGGTAATTGCTGTCTTGGCCGCGGCTGGCGGCTTCCGGCGCGTCCCAAGCCGCTCCGCCCGCCACCGGACCGGCTACCGCCCTGGCTGCACCGGAATCAGGGCAGGATGTGTCGAATGCAATTGATGATAAGCTTTTTGGTGCGGTGTAGGCCTGTTTGACGCTGTTTATAAAGTCATTTATCTGAGGCTAAAGCTCTGACCGGCGGGTGGCTATTAGGATGGTATCCAAGGTCCTAGCATTACAAATATAGTCAGTTGCCAACCCTACCCCATATAAAGTTAATTTTCAGTGCCGGAGCTCGTAACCATGTTTGAGACAGCTGGGAAAAAGTATCCCCAGTATCCAGCTTTGTTAGTGCGAATTCCTTCCGGAGGGGTCCAATTTCCTCTCCCCCCTAAAATCTCGGAACTTTTTTGTCGTAGACTTGGCCATCGGCTGAGTTTTTCTCATGACGATATGAGTTCCTGGGCACCGAATTTTTTGCCACAGGCGTAGTCAGGGGAGCTGGAAAGAAAATTATTGTCAACCATACTAAAAGTCATGAACGTTCAAATATCCATTTCAAAGCTGACGGGCCCATTATGGTACACCTTATTCGGAAGGTTTTCTAAACATCATAAGATGCCAAACGTATGCGAAATTGTGCAGTGCCAATCCAGTGACTGTCGTATACTGTTGCTGCAAAATAGTGTAATATGCATATCACAAGCACACAGTATTAAACTGACTACCGACATTACATTGGTGTTGTCATTTTAAGTCCTTTACACGTGGTCTGTCTGATAACACTCGCTTCAACCATGCACGTGTCTTCTTACCAGGGGCGTGTGTTGGCTCTCAACAGGGAGAACGGAACTTTCAAGTGCGTTCCTAAATCCATCCTTGGCATTCGAATGTTTGCAATTACGCACTGGGATGTGCTATTTGTTCACAAAAAGCAAATCTTGCGCAGTAAGGGTACGTAAAACGCGCCGAATTTGGTTTCATGTATAATGACAAAATATGCGCGCCACAAACGTCTTCAGCCTGTCTTATGGTACATGTACAAAATCAAAATGATACCAGTGACCATAACTGTAAAAGGCTTGACATTTTACCCAAGTTTCAAGAACCTTACAGATGGGACGCAAATACTGCGCGAAAACTTGAGAGGAGCGAGGGAAAATCAACATCCGTGAACTAACTATGTTAATCGTTTGGTGATCCATTCGATGGACTTCCTCGGACCCAGTAACCCACGAACTTCTTCCGTCTTTTAGGCCCATCTGTAGAAATGACTAACCCCGAAGGCATATCCAGGTGTATCTTAACCAATATCTGTATTCAGAATCTACCACATGCTGTTTTTACTGGTTTGAATCCTAATAAACGCACCCGCCCTGCTCTGTTTAACCAACCGCCATCAACGAACATGCGCCCGGTCGGCCAACTGAATACGAGTGCTCGGACGGAGGTCAGACTGTCCCTTCCCACTGAGATCTCGAAAACTAACAGCTAGAATACGAAATATAATATCTAAGTAGGCCGCTTGGTCAACTTAAGTGTGTCAACTTTAGAAGTCTCTTGTGCGCAACCTTCGAGTCAGATAGGGTCAAACAACTGAAGCGTACACGGAGTCCGCAGCACCTTCAGATGTCCTCAAACAACTTGCGTTTATCCTTCCGCCGCAACAGAAGCCGCGGAAGGTCAAGGTTGCATGTCGGGCCACGTCAACCTTTGCCTGCGACGCCCAACACATTGCAGCTTTGCAATGTTCATAATGAAATTATGCATCTTTATGCCATACAAAACCACCATGTCTTCTAAGAAAAACATTGTCACATGTTTGCTGAAAACCTGTTCTGCAATGGGGCTGCGTTAATCTCTCATTCTACACGTCGCCAGCAGAGTGTTAAACGTTACTCCGAAGAGCTCCGTGACGATCGTGTATAAGGTGATCGTTAAACGAGGCATAAATGATATCTATTAGTGCCACCAGTCAGCTAATCTCCTTTTGATAGTTTCTCCAACTCCTCATCAGCATCGCCAAGTCATAACGCTCACTGAGCTGCCATCATCATCCACGAGCGACCTCCGGTAATTCCGCAGCCGCAGTGGCAACCGCGCGTCCATATCATCACCGCCTGATGATGATGATGATGGTGACGGTGCGGTGCACACTCGGGACCAGCGGTGTAATGAGCCGCATCGCAGGCCCATCGTGCGTTGCTTGCCGGTCATTATCTGGCGCGGCGGCGGCGCATTATCAGACGTCCGTGTCCGGCGGCAGCGCGCCGCTGGTCGAGGATAACGCACCGTAGGAGAAGGGCCTGTCGATGCCAACAGCCCCCGCTGCTGAGAGCCAGGGGTTCGCCCCGTGCCGCTCAGGCCGCACTAGCTGTTGGCAG